ACACACACACACACACACACACACACACACACACACACACACACACACTCATTTTTGTCGCGGGCCACTTTGGAGTTACGTCTTCCCTTGGAGGTCCGATAAGACAGTGAAACAGAATAATTGTTAATCATCACATCGCATTATTACTTGTACACAAAAAAATGATGACTCACTATTTTTGAAGTCAGTCAAGTATTTTCTCAATTATTGCTCAAGTGAATGTGAACAGGGTAACAGAATTATTGCAAAATGTCACCGTTAGTTATTACGTATGACAATTTGAGACTTCAGCAAGAAATTACAGATTTAAGCAAGGATCATGGAAGTTGACACAGATGATTTGCTTTCGCGGGCCACATAAAATGATGTGGCGGGCTGGATCTGGCCCCCGGGCCTTGACTTTGACACCTGTGTTTTAATGCATATGAAGACAGGATAGAGTAGAAGATGATTACCAAGTAGCTGGAATAGTGTTCAAATGCATCTGTGTTTTGTATGGTCTCAAAGTTTCTGAGTCACACAGGAAAATACCTTCAAAGGTGGTTGCAAAAGACCAAGCTGAGATCCTGTGGCACATCCACTTCAGACTAATGAAGTAGTGGTGCCCAATAAATTGAACAGGACAACCAGGTGGGTGACAAACAGGAGAAGAAGGCAGTTGTGAATGAGCAAGCGCAAGCCACAGTGGGAACAGTAGAGGATATGTACACATACTGTTCACAACTGACAGACAAACTACACCCAAAAGAATAGTTTTTGTTTTGTTTTTTTAAATTACTGAAAGTGTTTTGGATATCGCATTAGTTCATCCATCCATTTGACCAGGTTTTGTCCCGCTTAAAATTCACTGCGATTTCAGACAATCACTCGTATGCTTTCAAATATAAATCCTCACTGTCATTGAGTGTCCTCCATAAAAGTATATTAAATCTGCCTTCGCTGTCATTGGGTGTCCTACATGAAAAATATATTTTGATATATTCAAGTCTAAACCATAATTAATTTCAATGTATATAAACTATTTTTTTAAAAATCAGTCTTTAAACTTTGTCATGATAAGTCGTGACATTTTTTTATTTTCTATTAGCTGTCAAGCAAAACATGCATTCGCATAGGACCCATATCATGTAAATGCAATGAATAAAAAAATGCCACAACTTACGAACACACAGGTCTCCTCTTTCAAAGAAACCGGGGCAGCACTGAGAGCGTCGCCTGTACATGGTTCTCACACCTCTTCTGTAGGCTGTCTTGTAGCTGATCCTGGATGAGATATGAACACAAACTCACTGGTAGTTGGGGAAGAAACATGAACATATTGATGCAATTGTGTATCGAAGAAAATAGTGTACGACATGACTGATTTTGACCCAGAGTTTGAACTATTTTGTTCAGCAGCAAATATGCCAAACAGGCAGGACCTTCTATGACTCTGTGGTGGCTTCGGCCATCCATTATGGTATTGTCTGCTGGTCAGGCAGCATCTCAGCCCGGGACAGAGAGAGACTGGAGCAACGAGTCAGGAGGGCCAGTTCTGTCCCGGGCTGCTCCCTGGACACTCTGGAAGAGGTGGGCAGCAGGAGGATGCTAGCTAAACGAAAAGCTATGATGGACAGTCCCTCCCACCCTCTTCAGCCCACCCTGACAGCACTGGGTAGCTCCTTCAGTCAAACTACTCCACCCGCGCTGCAAGAAGGAGAGATACCACCGCTCATTCCTACCGACTGCTGTCAGGCTGCTCAATAAACACGCATGAAAACCTGGACTCACCCCATCCATACATTGTAAATAGCAGTCACCTTACGCAGCATACATGCAGTTGCATATATGCGTATATCTATATTTTATATTTTATACTGCATTCTGTACTGTCTCCAGTTTTTTTTTCTGAAACATTTATTTTGTGCATGCAATACTTTGTTTTTCTTTTCTAGCCCCCCCCACCCCCCTTCAATTCTGCTGCTGTAGATTGCAAATTTCCCCATTGTGGGAGAAAAAAAGGTTTTCTTATCTTATCTTATCTTATCCTATCTTATGTACAGTGCAAAATATGTTTATAACAGCTGACTGAAAAATAGAAATATATTTTACATTTGGTATTTATTCAAACGCAATAGACTTCAACTTGCCACATGCATAGAAATAAAAGTACGTAAATCAGACACAACGTGACTTACAAACCTGTCCCACAAGAGGAAGAGCAGAGGAAAATCATGTCGCTTCATTTAATTCAGTGGTTCTTAACCTGGTAAATTTGTATTTCTCTTTTTCACTAGTTATACATGTGATTTCATTTATTTATTTATTTTAAATGTAACAATGAAGATTCTAGGGCTGCTTGGCACTGTGCCGGTAGCTATCATTCCAGTAGAGGCAGCATCAATGGTATGTATGAAACATGAGTCGCCACGCATATGTGGAGGCATCAGGAAGGAAGGCTTACCCACTTCTCTAGCTTGTCACTGTTATATGGAGCATAATCACTCATACTCTACATGTGCACTGTGAGGGCTTTAGCACTCACCTCCCTGCAAACCCAACAATCTCAACTGCAAACAAATTAATCTTGTAACTGTTGGGTCGTAACAAGATAAGTATCCAGAAAAAGTATTACTGGTTAACAAATGTTTAAAAAAAAAAACATTTAATCAGAGATGGAAGTAAATGTTTCCGGATTATTTTTTTTTGTACTGATGCCAATAATAAGAATAAGAATAAGAATATGTCCTATAGTAATATCCATCCATCCATTTTCCAAACCACTTTTCCTCATGAGGGTCACGGACGCGCTGGAGCCTGGCGCCCAGCCGTCTTCGGGTGGTAGGCGGGGTACACCCTGAACTGGCCGGCAGCCAATTGCACGACACACTTACACAAACAACCATTCATACTCACAACCACACTTCGGGTCAATTTAGAGTGTTCAAATAATCTACCATGCATGTTTTTGGAAAGGACTCGACTTAGACTAGAGTAAACTCATACAGACAAAATTGCTCATGCTCTTGTTAAAATAGTGCAACTCGATTTAAGAAACATTTAAGACTGCTGATCAAATGTCATGATTCTGTTTAGAATGGAATCTCTTAAAAAAAAAAAAAAAATCCCCTGAACTGGCCGGCAGCCAATTGCACGACACACTTACACAAACAACCATTCATACTCACAACCACACTTCGGGTCAATTTAGAGTGTTCAAATAATCTACCATGCATGTTTTTGGAAAGGACTCGACTTAGACTAGAGTAAACTCATACAGGCATGAGGAGAACATGCAAACTTTATGCAGAAAGGCCAGGGCCGGATTCGAACCCACGGCCTTTGCACTGTGAGGCAAATGCATTAACCAGTCATCACCATTCCACCCCTAAAGTAATAGATTTAGCCATATGAATTAAGGCTTTGGTTCAGTCACGGGTGGGACTTCTTTTCTGAGATGAGTGTGTGTGTGTGTGTGTGTGTGTGTGTGCCGGATGCCATGAAGAAAGAGGCCCTTGTTCCTTACAAAATTGCTCATGCTCTTGTTAAAATAGTGCAACTTAATTTAAGAAACATTTAAGACTGCTGATCAAATGTCATGATTCTGTTTAGAATGGAATCTCTTAAAAAAAAAAAATGAATCTCGTACAAACATGGTGCAATCATACCGCTTCAGAAAAGATGAAAGTAACTTAAATGTCGAAGTGAGTCCCTCCTCCCCACTCAAGGACGATGTTTTCCGACTTTTTTTCCCCTCTTAAGTTCAATGACTCAGCTCTTAGCTGAAGGAGCTTAACCGGTGGCTATAAAGCTTAATGTGATCATTAAAGCCAATACGCTGACAGTCCTTCATGAAAATGACCACATCAGACAGGGTCGAACTGCCAAGTGTGAGCTAGACTGCCTGTCACACTCCGGTACAGCAGTACTACACTGTACTCTACTCTACATACAGAACCAGACAGCAGGAGGGATCTGGGAACACATGATTCTGTGTCTTCACTTGATCATGCACACTAATGGTCATCCAAAAATCAGAGAGGATTTATTGACATTTTGACAATAAACCAGTTAAGATTTTCTTCTTTTATATTACAATGAACAAATGCCAAGATTTATATTCCTGAATCATATCAATATAAGGATGGCTAATGAGTAGGAAACTAAGTAAAGACTTCCATAAAATGTTCATACCTGTGTCTTGTGCATTTGAACCAGTTGAGAATGTCAGTGCAGCGAGTATAGTAGACCTGGTCGAATGGATGAGCGTAAGACTCTTGGACGGTCACTGCGTAACTAGAAGAACAGTACATGCAGAACGTTAATATGCTTTGGCAGCGAAAGTGACAGCAACTTTCTCATCTAAAAAAAATGATGTAATAATCAGATAATCAAAAGAGCTTTGTGCAGCAGAAACTTCAATGTTTAATTCATAGACTTCTTCGACAAGGTTTTTAAAGTTTCATTAAAAAGTAACTACGGCAAAGTTAGTGTAAAGGACACCAAATGATATTCAAGGATTCATCAATGAATTTCAATTTATCAACTCAATCATGTGATTTTTACTCCTGTATGGTAATGTGTGGTGTTTCCTTGAAAATCAGCCATGATGCATCCTATCATTCTTCATTATCCATTCATCCATCCATCCATCCATCCATCCATCCATCCATCCATTGTCTAAGCCGCTTATCCTCACGAGGGTCACGGGCGTGGTGACAATTGCAGGGCAAACAGAGACAACCATTCACGCTCACAATCACACCTCGGGACAATATAGAGTGTTCAATCAAATTACCATGCACATTTTTGGAATGTGGGAGGAAACCAGAATGACTACCCAGAGAAAACCCACGCAGGCACGGAGAGAACATGCAAACTCCATACAGGAAGGCTGGAGGCGAACCAGTCGTTCCTCCGAGATTATCGATCACCGAACCAGCACCCGTTTTTACCTTGATCAGAATTTCCACTTTTATTTTATGCTCTAGCTCTGAGTGGTGAGGCCACTCAAGCGGTCACATTAGCATCATTTTGAATTTACAGTTTCAGTCCGTCCTCAAGAGTAAACCTTTTTTGCTCGATTACTGACAAAATTGTCAGCCTAGATTTGTAACAGGGGTCTATTAGTTCACTGTATTATTTTAAGTGGCAATATTTCATTTTGGGTGGCCCGGTGGGCAAGTGGTTAGCACATCAGTCTCACAGTGCAGAGGTGCAGGGTTGGATTCCTGTGTGGAGTTTGCATGATCTCCCCGTGCCTGCGAGTAGTCCGGTTTCCTCCCACATTCCAAAAAACATGTATGATATGTCGATTGAATGCTCTAAATTGTCCCCGGGTGTGACTGTGAGCATGGATGGTTGTTTGTCTATGCGTGCCCTGCGATTGACTGGCAACCGGTTCAGGGTGTCCCCCGCCTACAGCCCGAAGACAGCTGGGATAGGCTCCAGTACACCCGCGACCCTTGTGGGGGATAAACGGTTCAGAAAATGGATGAAAATGGCTGAATATTTATATTGTGCGCTGTATATTGGCAATTAGAGTTTTGGAACCGAACCTCTCCCAGTGGCTGCACACGTTGGGATCATCTGGGTTGAGGGTGGTCACCAGAGAGATGAAGCCGAAAAGTCTGAGCCACAGCAGCACTTGGGGGGAGGCACCAACGGCTCCCATTGTCCTCCGCCCTCTTTCTTGAACCTGAAGCAGAACATGAAAATCAGGAAAGCATACTCCATGGTAGCATGCACATATTTAAAAACCACTAGGAGGTACGGTTGGGAAAAAAAAACACGCTTCTAACAGCAGTAATTAAATCATTAAGTGATCATCTAAAGGGAGGAGAAACAAAACATCAACTCCAACTGGAAAATATGTTTTATGTTAACACTGTATGAGCATTCCAGACTATAGCTTTAAATAATGCTGTGATTTGTGGTGGTTTGCTTCATGGTCATTAAATGAATTTAAAAAGGACCCAAGCTAAACGGATGACGCACTAATCGCGGAAATCCACCAATAATAGATGCCTGCATTGATATATATATATATATATATATATATATATATATATATATATTCCAACAGAATTGGAATAATGTGGCAGTGCTGGGAACAGCAAGGATACTGCGCAGAACCCTCAAGCTTCCTGGCCTCTGGTAGAGGACCCGAGCTGAATGAGGGATGGACACCACCCGAGGGGTGAGACGAGGATTTTTATATATATAATTATAAAGAATGCCAGAAAATCAGGGGACCATATAAGACACAAGTATTGAGAAAAAAAAGCATATTTTTAAGGCTGATATTTGGCGGTCGTATTATACAAGTGTGCGTCATTTTGCACGGGGTTTTTCTGGATGTTTTTGTGTGTCGTGTCCTTTAATTTAATTTTGGAATCAATTAAAAATGATCAACATCACCATTACTTGTCAGTTTTTCTCTTTCCTCTCTGATGATACCAACCTTTTGAAAATATGGTTAAGATTAAGACAGTTATTAATGTTTTGGGTCCATCTCTCCCGACTTTAAACCTTTGCGCGTTGGCTAAGATGTGTCAAATGAATGCCCTTTTAAAAGGAAATAGGGGCAGAGTTTTTGCAAATTAGATCTCCATGGGCATGAGCTGTCATTTAGAATGAATTCTGAGTCATGAGAATACGCACCGTGTTGCAAAAAAAAAGAAAAAAAAAGAAAGAAAAAAGGCTCGTGCGCACGTGTGATGAATACGATAGTTTTTTCTTTAACTTAAGAACATTTCTACGCATGTATTAGTGAATAAGGCCCGATTACATTAAATAAAATTACTGAAAAAGACGAAACAGACATGAATAACAGAACACCTCAATTTGAATAATTATACTGTATTCAACTCCTAGCAATTTGTGAGAAAGATGCGCTTGCTCAAAGACACTCCACAGAATATTTACACACGTTGAACAAATAAACGATTACATTTTCTAGAATGTCTCCAAAGAAAAGTGGGCTTCTTGAAACATTTTTAACCCGCTGAAGTATTTTATTTATATTATACTTGTGTTTGTAAGTCCATCGTTTTACTGTCATACGGTACATGCATTCACAGTGTCCATTTAGGTTGTCCAATCATGATTTGACACTAATGTTGACTGCTACATTTTACAAATGTTGGCCCAAGCAAGGTTACAACCATTTTAGAGAACAGTGCATCATCATAAAAATGTCAACGGTAAAGGTGGCGATGTGCTGGTAACCCAAAATACACCTAAGTGACTGCAGTCCTCGTAAAAATATACCATAAAGAAGTACCACGGCTATATCTGATCCTGACCCTTTAATGAACGCTAAACCAGAACTCCAGTTTCATTAACAATACTAATCCCAGGTTTTTCCTCCAATGTGCCACCAAAGGGCCACTAAGATCTTAATGAAATGTCTACCTGCCAGAGCCTAGCAAAGCCATCGAATCTCAGAGCTTTATTAAGGAACTTAAGGCTTCATTGACCAGTTCACTCCCCTGTGGCCCTTATGTGGCTCTTTAATGATGGACAACACCATTTTGCTGACAGAGCGAGCTCACTCGATGGTCTCTCTGGGGTTTTGGGTAGACACAAAATTATGATGCACAGTTTCATGTGACTGAGATTGGTTCAAGGAGATGAAATTCAGAAGCAGGCAATAAGATAAAGGTAGTAGAAAAATGGGGTCGTCATGCTGCAGCAGAGAACACATTGTGTTTTAGCATCAGACAAAAAAAAGATACAAGAGAATTGATTAATATCTCAAATGGTTCATCAAAGACTGAATACCCTATTTCAGGTCTTTGGAGAGGCAAATTCTAAATTACCCAACACTTCTGTCAAACAGGTATAGGTTGTCAACAAACTCACACTAGGAGTGACTACATCATAAATATAAATCAAGTGAATACATTTTGTACAACTGATATTTAGCCATCAATTCATCCATTATCTGATCCAGCATATCCTTGCAAGTTGTTGAAGTTCAAACAAATTGGAAGAAAACCAGCATCCCATAGCAGAAAATATGATTTTAGATACCTGTAGAGATGAAATATATACTTCACCCTATAGGGGACAGGTGTCAAACTCAAGGCCCGGGGGCCAGATCTGGCCCGCCACATCATTTTATGTGGCCCGCAAAAGAAGATCCAACATGTCAACTTACATGATGCTTTCTAAAATGTCTAACAATTTTTTTAAATTCTCTTATGTAATAAATAAGAGAGATATTGGAAGCATTTTCTTGTTACCAAAATCCTCATGATAGTAACTTAAACAACAGTGGAATCAACAGTTATTCTTCACTTCTTTGTATGGTTTCAGTCATAAAAGCCCACCAAAGGAAACTGTAACTAAAATGTGGCCCGCATCAAAAATGAGTTTGACACCCTTGCTATACGGAGTGCATTACAGTCAATGTTAACATATTTTTAAGTTGGGGACTGACTGTTCATGTCAGGTTTAGTGCAGATGCAAGCTTTTAGAGCAGGGGTGTCAAACTCATTTTTGTCGTGGGCCACATTACAATTACCATTTCCCTTGGACGGCCGTGATGACTGAAACTATATAAAGAAGCCAAGAATAACATTTTATTCCGCTATTGTTTCAGTAACTGTAATGAGAGGTTTGGTAATAAGAAAATGCTTACAATATCTCTCTCATTTATGACATATGAAAAATTGAAATGTTGGTACACATTTTCGCCAGTATGTGTGCAAATAAGTATGAAGTTGTCATCTTTTTAAGTGGCTTTCGCGGGCCACTTAAAATGATGTGGCAGGCCACATCTGGCCCCCGGGCCTTGAGTTTGACACAGTTGTTTTAGAATGACAACATGACATTCCTCTTTTTCTAGTCCATTTATGACAGCAGGCAATGGCATTGTAGACAATGTTAACCGATTGTCTTGTTGAGGCACGCATCCAGTTTTCAGATAATTTCTGGGAATTTTGGAATTGGTTACACTTTGGCAAGAAAATTGCTGACACTGCGCTGCACCTAATGCTTATACAAAAAAAAAAAAATGAAGGGCTTATCTTGCCCACATGACTAAAATAACATTTTATTCCGCTATTGTTTCAGTAACTGTAATGAGAGGTTTGGTAATAAGAAAATGCTTACAATATCTCTCTCATTTATGACATATGAAAAACTGAAATGTTGGTACACATTTTCGCAAGTATGTGTGCAAATAAGTATGAACTTGTCATCTTTTTAAGTGGCTTTTGCGGGCCACTTAAAATGATGTGGCAGGCCACATCTGGCCCCCGGCCCTTGAGTTTGACACAGGTGTTTTAGAATGACATTATGACACTACTCTTTTTCTAGTCCATTTCTGACAGCAGGCTATGGCATTGTTTGGTTTGGTTTGGTTTGGTTTGTTTATTGAACCATGAATTGATCAGCGAAGTCCCTTCTACAATTAAGATGTCGTACTTTTATTGATGAAGGAGGTCTTCCATTTCACTGCCAGTGGTTTTCAATTATTAGCACTTATCACACTTGCAAAAAGAAAGAAAGTAAGAAGAAAGAAGTCTCCATTAAGGCTCATACTTTACCCTTAACGTGATATTTTTATACTTTTGGTTTGTATCGGGATTTTATACATACACACCCTGGCACTCTTGTGTTAATTTTCTCTTGTATTCATAATGGACATTTCAATACCTTTCTCTATTTATCAACTTAGTTCTGATTCATTATATTTAATGTTTAGAATTTATCATTTTAACTCTGATTGATGTAGGTAGTTTGTACTATTTTTTTGAATTTGTTTTTGAACTCAGCAAGCGATTTACTCATTTTCAGGTCCGTTTCGAAATTATTCCACAGATTAACACCTTTGATAGATACACTTCTTTGCTTGATGTTTGTTCTTGTTTTGAGTTTTTTGAATAATTAAATCATAGCTGCTTTCTCGAATTTCGAAAAACTTCAGAATGTTTTGGCAGAGCAGGTTATTGTGTACTTTGTACATTAATTGGGCGATTTTAAAGTCAACCAGGTCATGAAATTTCATCGTATTTAATTTGATAAATAATGGATTTGTGGGTTCCGTATATTTCGATTTATTAATAATTCGAATTGCTTTTTTTTGTAGTTTTAAAATAGGGAGTGTGTTTGTTTGCAGGCACACTGACCTGAAAGCTAAGATCATGGCGAGAATGAAAGCTGGGCAACCTAGAAACCGATTACAACGACTATGTGAAGTACCACCTGAAAGTCTCATGGAAAGTGTGAATGCAGCACTGAGGGTGATCCCAACCATAATGATCACGGAAACCAATGAGCTGATATACACTTCAGCATCAGTCATCCTAGAGATGCTTGGCTATAGGAGCAACCATGGGAGCCAAGAGACACGTTACCCACCATGGAAAAGACGTTAATAACAAAAGCGCAATGACAAAGTATAAACAGAAATCGCTGGTCAAAAAGAACCAGGGAAAACAATACATTCACAAAATACGCTTGCAAAGGCAATGAAAGAGTAAATCCGAGTATATAAATCAAATGTCTAGAGTCCAATTTCACAAAACAAAAACATGAGCATGACCAAAGACAAAATCATATAAATACAAGGCGAGAGACTAGGGAGCAAAAATGACAATGATGAGATCGAGAGGTCAAGAAAACAACACTTGAGCAAGAGCAACAACAAGGTCAAGAATCCGACGGAGACGTGGCGCTTGGGAAGTC